AAGGACGCAGCTCGTCCCGCCCGACCCACCCCGGTATCGGACAGACAACTTCGCCCTCGCAGGTAGCTCGGACTTTTAAGAGGGGGAGTGTGTTACATCTTCGAGTCACACGGGTCCTACCGGACCCGACTTAGGGCCGGAGGGACACACCAGGGCCTAAAGGCCCGACCTTTGGACTACACGCCCTAAAGGCCTGATTTTTTAACTCAGCCCAGCAGGTAGGCCCAAACGACACTTTGTTTGGGCCTGGCGGCGCTCTTGAAGCTGCCACCCGCCGATTGAGGCTGAACCGTCCATTTGGACGGTCCAGGGTCTGGCCTGGCCTCGCAGCATTGAGGCCAGACCATGGCCTACCGGTATAAGTACCGGTACCTGCCTCAATAGAGGCATCGACCTACCGGCGTTGTACCGGTACGGTATGGTCAGCGCCAGAGCGCTGTTTTGATGCGCTAAACTTAGCGCAGGGGCTGGAGCAGGAGCGCAGCAGTGTGCGGAGCGGCAGCGGGCGACTGAGTTACACGGCGGTTCTCACCGCCTGAGGTACCGGGAGCTTGGAGGATCTCTCCTCCTCTCCCTCGCCAGTCCCCTCTCTCTCTCTCCTCTTCTTCTCCTTCTTCTTCTTCTTCTTCTTCTTCAGATTGGAGACTATCCAGTTGGACAGAGATCAGGGTTGGATTTTGGTGATACGAGACTGTGGTACTTACCTGATTGGAGACTTGGAGATTGTTGAGGTTGATACTCGGCTGCATCACAGCTGGACACCAGTTACATATGGACTTGGTTATCTCCGACATTGGTGACCTTGGGTCTTCGACATTTTGATCTTGTTATATGACATTCTGGACTACTATTTCGGAGACCTACCGGACTCTATCTTGTGACCTATCGGTGTGATCTACCTCCTACCTCCTTCGTCTCTCCTCCCACCTCTCATCTGTGTGTGTGTGTACGGGATCTGGGTATCGTCTATGCATGACCCAGACCCCCACCATCTCATGATTGTATGTGTGTGGAGTGATGCCATGTAGGTCAGTCTTTGTGAGTCAGTCTATGTGAGTCAGTTCGTTATCAGACTTCCGCTGCATAAATGCTCATCCTATATTGGTTGATCTTTGGTTCTGCCCATACTCATTGAAGTATGTAACACAAGGTCATGGGCATAGTTGAATGGATGAGGTACTGAGGCATTCTCTGTTCCACACGGGCCCTTCGCAGGGCCCGGTCCGTAGGCCTAGGGGGGTAGCAGGGTTAGTAGGACCAGTAGGCCAAGTAGCACCAGGCCTGGTGCGTCGTTTCACTAAAGCGCCAGGCCCCCGGTTAGAGGCCCAGTTGGGATGGATGAGGTACTGTATGAGGTAGTAACAGGATAAAGACAGCTGTTATGCGGCCTGAGGAACTGTTAAGGAGCGCCCCCCCCCTCCCCCGCTGCATCCTGCCCTCCTGGAGGTTACCCTGCTGTGTGACTGGGTGCTGCTAGCAAGCCTCGCAACCAGCAGGGCAACCCCCTAAGGAAGGCCACGGACTGTAAAAACATGCTCGCCGGTAAGCAACCGGACTGTTGGCCCGCAGAATAGAAGGGGCGTGGTTAAACCACTAGTACATTTGTTCGGAAAATAGTGGGCCTCCGACCTTTCAGGAGGGCGAAACAAAACGCCGCCGCCGATCAGATTTATCAACGGCAGCCGTTCTCGGGCCCGGCCTCCTAAAAGTTCGGGAGCTGGCAAGAACTTGTCGAAACCGGACGTCAAAGGTACTAGTGGTTAAAAAAAAAAAAAAAAAAAAACAACAACAACAACAACAACCGTAGCGGGGCTACATATGTTGAACCCATTCAAATGAATGGCAGCTGACAGCACCATAATCAATTTCAGCCTTTCCAGGGGAGGAAGAGGAGGGGAAAAAGGAAGGTAAACACCAAGGTTTCAATGCTTCTCATTCTTGGTGTGTCATTCATGGAAAATGCTCTCGTTGAGCTCAGCGGGATACCATTCTGCCATACCACAGATTGGACTAGTTCCAAAGTTCCAAACTCTGGAACTGTTCCCAACTTCCAAACTCTGGAACTGTTCCCAAGTTCCAAATCAGTCCCGTCCCCGTTTTGGAATATCGGGACTAGTTTGGAGCTCAGGAACAGAGTACCATGGACTGGAACAGTTCCCAAGTTTCAAACTAGTCCCAGAATGACATTCTCTGAAGTTCAGCGATGTGCCTGCCATTCAATTCATCATACCAAGAAGGAGGAGAGTTGGTCGGATCCTCTTCTCACTTCAAATTTTCAAAAATAGTAAATAGAGTAAATGGCAAATGCTAAGTAGTAGTAAATAGCGAATAGTGAATAGTAAAAAAACTTAAAAAAAGTCAACAGTAAATAGTGCATGATAAATGTGTCCCCTCAAACTGTCAAACACGTTTTCGAGGCATTTCCCAAAAAGACGGCAAAATCAAGAAAAAAAAAAAAAAAGAAAGAATGGATGGGGAAGTGGTGATAGTCAGTATTATTAGACTACTAGTCACACACACACACACACACACAAAAAAAAAAAAAAAAAAAAAAAAAAAAAAAAAAAAAAAAAAAAACATGCGTTGCAACGACATAGAAGTTAAGATGGCACTCTGGAACCAGAAACATGCGTTTGGGATCGAAGCAAGTACGACATTCAGTGATTCTGAACACGTGTTTTTCACTCGTTCCCGAGAATTGACTTTTTCGATGTTTCACCAATGAAGGGAGTCATCGACGCAGTACCCGCGTCTCAACACAAAAAAGTTGATATCAGTTTCCCATAACTTCATATTCTTCCAGTGCTTGTGAACAGAAAATTGAAAATTCCCAGAAGAACCTTCTTAGCCAAGCACTGCCACAGCCTTTAGGTAAAAAAAAAAGGGGTCTGTAAAGAATCTAAAGACCTGAAGGAGTAATTTAGGAAGAGCAGAGGAGAAGCAGAACGACATGCTACATGTTCTCAAGGCGTTGCCCACCATCGAGGGTTAAGAGGGGTCTGTAAAGATCAGGCCTTCTGTCCCGGAATATTCCCCAACTGGCCCTCTGTGACCTAAGCTTCTCAAGATCAAACGTCGCCACCAACACCTCCTCGTCTGAATCGTTCGCCTGCTGAACGATCTCACCAGTAGGACCTGCAAAGCAAATACCCAATTTGATTTCACACCCCGATGTCAGCGCCATGGCAATCAAAATATCAAATGTAGTTGTTAATACTATTCAAAATTTGTACTCTTATTTACTAAGAAATCCTAGACTGGCTATGGAATTGACAGGCCACTGAAACTTTCGGGAAAGTATGTGCTCAGCATTATGCAGCACTCCTCCGTCCGGAAACTCTGTGGAGTTTGGACCGAAAAACAAAAGCCTGGGCGAACCTCCGGCCATTCAACCTACCGTATTCACCCCTAAGAGAATGTGCTGTCATTATGGCTGTCTCTGGACTGCACGTTGCACCTAATACAGCTATAATTACAGGGCGGTCTTTTCCGGTGAAGACGGTAGGCATACATCGCTGTCTACATCCACATCAATCTGCACAGTCTCCCATGCCAGGGCGGTCTTTTCCGGTGAAGACGGTAGAATTGTTAATAAAGAACTCTTCAGTGCTTCTCCCATGCCAGCTGCGTTAGAGGATCTCAATTTGAAAATTCTAAATGATCCACACACAAGGTGTCATCATCGAAAATAAATTTCCAACTTGACATTTTTCCTTTAGTTGTCGGATAGAAGAAAGCCTGAGCACCAATTACAGACAAGGTCGTCTCACTAGGCTGCTTCTTCGGGCACGGACTTTTATAGTAAAGGGGTCACACGAGGAGGACAGGAATGCAGGGGAAGCACAGGCTTCTTGAACTGTTCGAAAGGAGCAGGAGCAGAGAATAGATCAACGCCGCCCTCTCGGATCCGTCAACCATAATGGTTGGTTGAAGCGTTGGATTGCATACATCCTGCTATAAAGAAGCAATCAATGCCGTCTATCTAACTCAGGCAGGGATGAGGGGTGGCACATCCTTCTTCTATAAAGAAGCAATCAATGCACGCCCTCTCGGATATCTCAACCATAATGGGGAGAAGCGTTGGAGTGCATACGCATTGTACTCTCTCGACTTGCCAGTGGAATAGGAACCAGGGACTGACGCTCCACAGAATGGATAAGGAGCCAAAACCATTAAAAAAAAGAAAAAAAGAAAGAAAGAAAGCCTGGAGCATTTATGAATCGGTATCTTGAAGCAGACAATCAGCGCTTTTGCTGTAAATTTTACTAAATTACGCACTTTCTGACAGATTCAGCACACATCATTACTCCATTACAGATCTATTTTCAAAGAGGAGTCCAAATGCACCCCGACCTAACGTTTACCTCTGCTCCCTTGTTCATCTAATGAACTATGTCTATCTTTTACGCACTCGCGCTTGGCAGCTGTAAAACGTGCACAAATTGACTGTGTTTCTCATACCCTCAGCCCTCTGCCTTGAACCAACCCCTCACCCCTCCCCCCCCCTCCGCCCCCACCTTGGTTGGTTCTAAATTTAGAGAGACTTCCCCTTCCCAATCCGCATGCTCCGGAGTTAAGATCTGCTGGTGCATCGAAGCCAGGTTAGTTTCTCTTCCATATCTGCATGCTCCTGAGTTAAGATTTACTAACCTGAGTTCCGACCTGAGTTTTTCGGACTTTTTCCATTTGCTAAACACTGCTAAACACTGTACACTGTACACGGTCTATTCCTCGTGATCCTGCCATCCTTGAACCGAGAGAGCTTTGCACACTCATCTCCATTGTCCATTGTTATGGCTTCGCTGCACCAGCACATGCAAGGCAACATTGCATTGTTCAACATTGCATTTTTGCGTTGAATGGACAGCTTTAGATTGCAGAGCATAGTAGCATACCATAAACGGCAGCCGTGGAAGGGGGTGTGGAGTGAGTATGGCACGATAGAGATCGCCAAACCTGCAATGAACGATTTTCCATAGAACTTGATAAAGCTTTTCCCATGCTCTGTCTGAATCTCCTCCTCGCCGACCCGGTTCGATGCAACGAGAGGAATCTGAAGCGTGGTACAGAAGACAACACAACACAATCAGAGAGAAAGCAACCAACGACATGATCAACAATGAGATCTGAGTTTGGAGTTTCTAAATTCTAGTACATCTTTTTAAGTTCTGAGCTGAACGAAATCTCTTCCGACTTGTTTGCCGCTGCTCTTGCTGCTGCAGTTACACAAACGCTGCTACGACAGCTTTTAGAGGTCGTGACTGTACTGTGAGGATTTGGCTCCTCGGCGGGCCTAAGGGGCCCCCTGATACAGATGTGCCCGCCCTAAGTAAAGACGGGCCTAACAAATCACGAGAGGCCCAAGGCTGTCAATTTCGTATTTGGGGTACAGGCAGTTATGTAAAGTTGGTTGAGGGAACCCAGGCCCCGGGCAGCAAAGATTTTCCACGGCCTTCTAGGCCTTTCTGAAATGCAGGCCCTGGGCAGGATTCGCAGCAACATACACAGACAGTTGGGAGGCCTAACTGAACGAGGCCCAGCAGCTGCAGCAGAGGCCCAGCCACCTGGCGCCTACCGGAAGCTTCTGGGCGCAGGCCCAGCCCAGCCAAGCCGCAGGCCTGGCCAGAACTCTTCCATATAGGAAAGAGCTTGTGGCCAGGCACGGCTCTTCCATATAGGAAAGAGCTTGTGGCCAGGCACGGCATTCGGGCACTTGCAAGCTAGCGGCAGCGCTGCTGGAGCGGAGTCTCGCGGGCTTCTGCTTCCGCCAGAGACAAGGTTCTTCGCACCTGCGGTCGTGTATGAGGAAGGGCGCTGCTGAGGGCAGTGCCATAGCCCCACCTCCATAGCTGGCTGGGGTTTGGACTACAGAGAGGCGCAGGGATGGTCTTCGGGTGTACAGAAGGAAGACGTGGGTGAAAGTCGAGGAAGAGAGAGAAGGATGATGATGATGATGATGATGATGATGTGAGGGCACATACCTGGTATTGGCGATGGTCTGCATCTTCAAGTACTTCGTTGGCTGCTAACGTCAACAGTTGCATTGTCAATTAGTAGACAGATAGTAGCTGCGTAGGGCGTAGGCTGGGCGCCGAGCGCCAAGTAGGGAGAAGGCCCTAGATACTTATGTTGGTGATGGCGAGAGCAAGCTTTCATTGACATTTGGTTTTCAGTGTTACGATTCTCCATTGGTGTTATATTGGTGCAATGCTGCCTTCTGGACACTGTGATACTTTCTGAGTCTCAATGTGATTGTGCAATCTGATTTTGTCCTCTCTCTATTGCTCATTTTCCTTGCGGTACATTCCACTAGATGTGTGAATTCATCATGTTTCTAACATCGATATTATGTCCTCGGTACCGTTGCCTTAACACAAGGGTATCCGGCTACTATCCGCTATATACTCTCTTCAAGCGTTCGACCATGCCCCTCTTCAGTCTCCAAACTCGTCAACGCGCTAGTTCTACGGCATGGTCGGTCTCTCGCAATTTTTTTCATTGAATACTTGTTGTTGCCATGCATGTCCTTGGCCACTAAAAGCTTTGCGTGCGCTTTTTTATTTGGCATGCAGTTTTCCATGAACAAAGCTCCTTGATTGTTCAACACCTTCTGCAACTCTCGCAATGACTAAAGAACCGACGCTTCACAAAGCTCTATTAAAAGAGAGAGAGAGAGAGAGAGAGAGAGAGAGAGAGAGAGAGAGAGAGAGAGAGAGAGAGAGAGAGAGAGAGAGAGAGAGAGAGAGAGAGNAGAGAGAGAGAGAGAGAGAGAGAGAGAGAGAGAGAGAGAGAGAGAGAGAGAGAGAGATATTTGGTGTCTTGTAGGTGTTGTAGGTCTTGGAGGTACGAAAAATCAGTAAACTACCGCCCGAGGCTTGCATTGGGCATGTCCATTGTGTTCCACCCCATGCTCCACACTGACCGCATGCTGAACATGGCTTGAAGCTGTGAATAGGGTGTGTCGTAGCTGAGGAACACAACTGAGGGAGGAGTGGAAGGGAGGGAGGGGGGGAGAGGGGGGGGGAAGGGGGAGGAAGAAAGTAGAAGACAGAGACTAAGAAAGCTCACCATGTTTGCTCCAGCATGGCCTTGCATTACACGCGTCCAATGCTCCCGTGAGTCGAGCGTTGGATCTTGCGGTTCACTACCAATGGCAGTTGGGTACAGCAGCAGTTCTGCACCCTTCAGCACCATTACCCTGGCAGCCTCTGGGAACCACTGGTCCCAGCATATGCCTGTCACCGGCAAACTCAAACAAACGACAGAGGAAGGACAATGGACCAAAGTGAGTTCCAATTTCCAACGTGTCGACTCCCAACTTCGCCGGAATAGAACACACAGCCATTATTGCTGTGTTTTTGAACTGAAAGTCGCCCAAGATACAGATATAACGACTTTGCGACGTTGCCTTCTACGGGAGGGGAGACTGTTTCAAAACCATTGCAACACACACACTCGTCTCTGTATGCTTATGGATCGAATCGCACGGAAACCATGATTTCATGGAAACACTGTGGCAGAACAAGTTGAAGTCGGTACCACATCGGTTAACAGCTAAAGCATCCATCCTGCGAACAACCAAAAGTGCATGGCCACAGCAAACGTGCATGGCCCAGGGACAACTTCTGGCGGGCCTCTGCGATGGGCAACAGTTTGTCGATCGGTAGCAAAAACTTAAAAAAATATATTTTATTTTTTTCTGCTCTCAGCTGAAACAACAAACAATGCACAACAACAGAGCTCCAAACTCAACACCAACTGCCATGGCACATAAAGAAGACGAAACGGTATCCCAACACTGTGCTCTCCATAGAGAATGGTGCCCGTTCATACTGTGTTCCTAAAATAAGGGAGGGGTTGGGGGGAGGGGAGGGGGGGGGAGGGGGGAAGGGACAAGAAAGAAATTGAGCGAATGAGCAAGTACTTCACAAAAAAGTTATTCACTCAGTATGTTCTGGAGGACATGTGGAGGGTCCATCATCGAGGGTGTTAGATCTAAATTGGAGATTGAGACTGTGTGATCTAAATCGAAGATGATGGAGAGAAGGTGTTGTTCACCCTCCTCCTCAGTGGTCAGTGGGATCACGTTTGATATTAATTACTCACCTACGCCAATATCAGCGTACTTGGTTTTGAAAACCTGTTCACACAGCAGCAGCAGAAAAAAATGGAACCTCAGATTCAGTTGGGATGTATAACGCCTTAAAACACTAGTACTTGGCCCAGCTATTGGCCGTGAAAAACAAAAAATAGAGTAGAAACGTTTCTAGTCGGATGAATTTCGGCGCTCCTGTAGTGACCCGTACATTCCTAAGATCGCGGCTTGTTAACGGACAAGACTTTAGGACGTACTGGTGGTTTAACAAATTAAGTTTAATAAACTTTAATTAACACTCCTCGTTACTCCACAAGAGCCAGTTCGCTGTTCATACTTCTCCATTTTTCACAAAATACTGAACTAATGGTTAATAGGTGGTGTCATTTTGAGGCAGCCCAGGCCATCGGCCTTTGAGGCAGCAGCACTTCCGCATTGCCTGCACTGGCCAGCATCCTGGCCTGGGCTGCCTACATTAGGACGATACATTGGGAAGCAGCCCATCCCAGCCCTCAACTGTAGTCTCGGGCCTGGGCGCAGGGTCTGATTGAGGGTGACGAGATACGTACCTGGTGCATGAAGAGAGGTCAGCTATGGCGTGGACAGTCATGTACATCGGTCTTCGAGAGTCGAAGTGAGCCTGTTGCATGAACCAGTTGTAGGTAGGATAGTCGGGCAGAGTAGGCTGGGCGCTGGGCGCCAGACAGCAGAGGAGCGACTTTGGATACTGTGTTGGTGTGGCATACGGGCTTGAACATTGGCTCATTACTTCATTGTATTGCTCTATATGGATGGTTTCTTGGTGCATTTTGTACTCTCTGCTTTGACACGACTACCTGGACATCTGTGTGATTTCGCAACTTGGTTTTCTGTATATCGTTCACACTCATATTCCTTGCAATTGTTTTATGCCACGAAAACCCCCGAATTTTGGGCGTTCCATTAACCATCTCTCAAATACTGAGGATCAGACATCAAGGTGTTCCTCTGCTTAAACCGCTTCTGGTGAATCGATACACTTGCACATTTTGACACGACCTGCCTTTCACTACTCTGGACTGATAATTTCAATACTGTCCTAACTTCATAGATCATGATTAGGATATCTCAACACACACACACACACACACACACACACACACACACACACACACACACACGCACACGCACACACGCACACGCACACACACACGCACACACACACACACACACACACACACACACACACACACTTTCTGCTTCCACCAGTCCATACAGTACCCTCCCATTTGAGTAC